GCGGCCCTGCCCCTGCCTGGGGGATCTTTCTGGATGTAAGGATTGTGGCCGGCATGTCAGACACCAACAGGACTTGCATTATCTTGTTTTCAGCCATGACTGAACTCTCTCCGACCACTCTACTTAAATGGAATCTATTTTTCTCTAAAGTCAATCTCCAGGAGCAACAAAAGCCTTTTTTCCTCAGTTTTCTGAGAGGCTGAGGTGGAGCTGGGACTGAGATTGGAACTAGTTCCTTCAGTGACTTTTCTCTTTGTGCACAGGACCCTGGTCACCTCTCAGTGGCTTCTGATCCAGGGGGGCCCCGCCCGTGCACCACAGGTGGGGTGGGGGAGCCGGTGCTTTGGGGGACCCTTGCTGCTGGGGTGGGTGTGCAGGGCAAGGTGGGCCCTGCATGGGGGCAGCTCAGAGCCACGCTGGCCGGGCAGCAGCCCCGTTAAAACTGAGGGGGCAGCTGAGGCCAGGCCACAGGGGCCCCGGGTGCTGGCTGAACGGTTGGCCAGTCTGAGGGCTCAAGAAAGAGACCCCTTGGGAAAGTGGGAGCTGTGGGTGGAGGGAAAAGGACTCTGGAGGATGGGGGAGCCATTGGGAGACCGTTGTGTTCGTCCAGGCCCGAGATGACCACTACCAAATGCTGCGGCAATGAGGTCGTCATTTTGCTGCTTGTTCTGGTGAAACACTTGGGTATTTTCCAAACAAGGTTATTTTCTCGGAGAGAACACTGAAAACAGCTGTGAAAAGAAGGGCCCAGCTCGAGCGCCCACAAAGAGGGTACCAGCTTCCTCCCTCTGAACTGCAGCCTCCCTCTGCCTGTCATCACTCCAGCAGTGGCGTCTGACGTGCAGACAGTGCCACACAGGGACCCTCATGTGCCAACTAGCCACAGCGGCAGCCTCTGCCCCTGCCCAGAGGTTGATGCTCGCTGACAGTTTCCATTTTACAGCAGCATCTGCTGGGGCTGGGAACTGCCCCCTAGCCTGCGTCCACACTGCCGCTCCTTCTCTGGGCCCATGTTTTAAATGACCAGCTGTGATGTCTTCTGTTGTAGAAATGGGAACAGATAGCAACTCGGACGCTAATGATGAATCAAAGGAGAGTGCGCCAGCAGGAGAAGCACAAGGTGCAGGGGGCTGGAGAAGAAAGGGCATGGCTGCCAGCCCAGCTCCTGGTGACCCGCTGTCCATATTCTCATGACTCTGGGTGGGTGACACTCCAGTGGAGGATTAAATAAAGAATGTGCGTGCCTGCTAACGGGAGGCTAGTGGCACAGTCCTCCAACAGTGTCGGATACGCAGTCCCGCCAAGACAGAGAGCTCCACCCGCACAGACGGCGCCCAGTCCCCGGGTGGTCAGCTCACTGACCTGCTCAGAGGCTTCTGGGCTTACAGCTGCCAATTATCAGGAGGTGACATCAAGGTCCCAGAACATGGTTCAGGAGGGAAGATGGAGCCATGCATCACACAATCAGGCTGCAGTGGAAGGACTGGACTTCTGCACGAAAGTGTCTGAAATTGGCTGAAGAATTCCACTATTCAAGGGCCAAAGTCCATGCAGAATGTCAGAGAATCACAGAAGTGTCAGGCACGATGAGGGACAGAGATGACTGTTGAGAAATGAGGGCCATGGCAGAGAAATAATAATGTGCGTTAGTCCTGGGGACCTGCTGTGTGGGCAGAATCCCGATGTGGCCCCCGAGATCCCCACCCCCAGGTATGCACATCCTGAATAATCCCCTCCCTTGAGAGCAAGCAGACCTGTGAATAGGATAGGGACTTGCTCCATGACGACGTTACATTATGTTATATAAGGCTGGGTCTTATATAGAGATTCTATTGCTGTCTGAAGAAGCAAGCCGCCCCACTGTGGAGGCGGCCTCATGGCAGGGAACCTCAGGTGGCCTCTTGCAGCTGAGAAGAGTGCCCAGCAGACAGCTCAATTGGTGCCCCATAGAATGAACTTACTGGGCAGCGAGACTGTGGGGACAGGGAGGGGGGTCTTCTATCAGAAGCAAGTCACACAATTGATTGTACTGCACTTATCAAGAGGCTTTCTTTGGGAACAGCTCTGTCTCACAGACAAGGCTGTGCCCACCTGCAGGCAGTGGAGGACCCGTTTCACACACAACTGTCCGACCTTCCCTCCTGCTCCAACCTCCGTCCCAGGTCCCGCACCTGGGCGTCCCCTCTCTCAACCACTGCCACCTTCTCTGAACGTCACGAGCATCTGTGTGCACGGCCCTCAAGTACTATGGCAGTGTCTGTTTTATCGTTGTAAATTACAGTCACTGCAGACATGTAGAGATCTTGCCTTAAATAGAGATTGTAAATTCCTTTGGAGGCAAAAACGATATATATACATATATTTTTAAATTTATTTTATTATACATTTAGAACTCCCCACATTCTCAACATACTGGTAGAGTTAGTTATGTGGCACCAATTCTTAATCATCTTCTGCCCTCCCTACAGGGCTGGGACCTTCTGGGACGTTCACAGATGCCCATTTGATTGAGCTGAATCGAGGCTGCCAAATTTCTTTCCATAACTGCCCTAATGCTCCTGTGGTCAACTGTGTGCCATCAAAGAACAAAGAATCATTCTGCCAGCTGCTTTCCCAGAGAGTCCCTACCCCCAGTCCCTGTGATGTATCAATGTTCTCAGTCAACTGAAGAAAATCCCTAGTGGGGCCTAGATCATCCCACCTGATAAAAGAGATCATGAATAGTGAAAAAGGGCCTTGATTTTTTATCATCGAAGATGGATATTGTCAATTAAAAAAATCCATGTTATGATGTACCAAGTTAAGCAGGTATTTATTGAAGAAGTACTAGGAATACTTTAACCTGTTCAAAAGTAAAAATGTGAATGGGATTTTGGTTTTACAAACTGCCACTTAGCTTCCCCTCTCCTCTGTGCCCAGGCCAGGGAGTGGCCTTCCTAGAACACACATGACGTCTGTCTCTTCTCCCGTTGCTCTCCAGATAAGGTCTAGCTTCCTAAACACACCTTGGAATCTCCTGCACATCTGCTCTGTCTCTCCTGCCTCTGCCTGGCTCCTCGTAGTTTCCTTCATTCCCAACCATGTTCAACCTCCTGCAATTCCTGCCTTCCCCATGGTTCATGGGTCCTGGCCTTTGCCCCTATAGACATCCCCTCCTGGAACATCCTTTCAGGTGATTTCACAAGGCAGGAGGAGTATTCATGTTTCAAAATAGTCAGCATTCTAGAAAACTCCTCTCCGGGAGGATATAGAGGCCCCTTTCCTATGTCCTCTTAGCTCCTGGGCATGTCTCTGGTCCAACACTAATGCCTCTCAGTTCATTAGTCCACTTTCTGCCTTACTCTGGACCATGGGCTTCCTGATGTCAGGGGCTTGATTTAGTTTAGCTGAATACTCAGCACCCAGTGTGGGGTGCTGAGTCAGTACTTAGTCGATGTTTTTAAATGAATCAATTACTTTTTAAATGACTTGAACATTTCCTTGCTCTATCAGCTGAGACAGTCCAGAAGCAGCAATGTCTCAGCAACAGGGAGCACCCTCAGCACCCAGATCGTGGTTTCTGACACTGTTCTTCAACAGAAGGATCCAGGACTTCCCGGAGAACTGGCTGATTCTAGGGCTAAGGCGGGAGATATACAAGATGAGCCTGGAGCATCTTGAAGAGCTAGAAAATGAGGAAGTGCCCAAAACACAAAACGATGGGGGTATGCCCAAAGGACACAGGAGCCAACCAGAACAGTCTCAGTGGCCAAAGCTGGAACAATTTGAGCAAGAAAATAAATACAGTCATGTTGGATTATAACCCAAAGTATGAAATAGATATCCGTGAGTCCCTGTGACATAAAGAAATGATTGAATAAATGAGTAAATGTGGGAGAATGGACAGATATCCCACCCAGAAGATTCCAAATAACTTACATAGATACCCCATCCCTAGAGATGGAACATAATCCCTTACGTGTGGGCTGCACATAGTGACTTTCCTCCGAAGAGTGCAGCATGGAAAAGGGAGAAAGAGTAAATTTATAGAGGAGAGAGCTGGCAAACACGACCTCAGCCGGGCGGCCCAGGTCGACATCCACAGTCATGAGTCAAGCTGAGGATGTACCTTGCATGAGGAGATGAACCTGTTCTCCAGTCTTCCTCTCAAAAGCCCATAACCTTAGTCTAATCATCAGAAAACTAAGATAAATCCCGGGAGCGGGGCGTCTTACAAAATACCTGACTAGCCCTCCTCAAAACCGTCAACATCATCAAAAACAAGGGAAGTCTGAGGAGCTGTCAGAGCCCAGAGGAGCCAAAGGAGACGTGAGACTAAATGTCATGTGGTGTCCTGGGTAGAATCCTGGGGCAGAAAAAGAAAATTAGGTAAAAACTAAAGAATTCTGAATAAGGTGTGGACTTTTATTGAAAGTAGTGTATCAATGTTAGTGGTAACAAATCTAGCCTACTAATGTAAGATGTTAACAGTATGGGACACTGGATATGGGGTGTATGATAACTTGTGATATTCTTGTAACTTTCCTATAAAACAAAAACTATTGTAAAATAAAATAGTTTGTTTTTAAAAATGAGCTACCTCAAAAAGTTTTAAATGTTGATTGAAAGTCAACTAAAATGACATTAATCTCAGACTATTTGCAAGAAATTGCCCTCATTTATGGCCTGCGGCCATAAGTTTTTACAAATGTCATTTCTCCTCTCAAGATGCGACATTCAGAAAGCCACAGCTCCACAGATATAATTGGGGCTTCAGATCAGTGGCACATGGCCCTGGAAGATATCCAAGGAAGAAATAGTGTCATGAGTCTAGAAATTAAATGTTCTAACGCTCTAAGTATTGATTTTCTTAGAGAGTTTGACACGTCTAACACTTTTATACAACACTGCATCCCTAAACCGGTGGTCCCTAATGCTGTGATTTTGCTATTGATCATTTCCCATGACTCTGGGCTCAGCGTTAGATGCTAAAAACAGCTCTATTGAATATCTTTCTTCAGGTGTCAGCGTTTTCTACCTGGGAGAAAGAATTACACAAAATCGTGTTTGATCCGCGCTATCTCCTGCTAAACTCTGAGGAACGTAAACAGGTAATGTGGTGGTGGTGGGGCACGGTGATGGCTGTGGAGACACAGCATTAAAATGACGCTTCATCCCGAGAGCCCTGCTCTCTATCAGATGCTTGTTGTTTTCCATTTGTCGGTGGGGAAGTGTTGTAGACTGCGTACTCTCTCTTGTGAGCTCGTGAACAGTAAGGTTATGGGTGCAGAGGAAGATTATCCTGGTAACTGTTCTTAGCAAACCGTCTGGTCGTGACCCCATAAGACAAATACTCATATTCAAAGATGAAAATGCAAATTGGAAAAAAATGCAAATTTTTGGAAACTTGACTGCATCCCAGATTACTGTATTTAAAAGACTTGAGGTCTTATGTACTAATAGTGAACTAGGAGAGGGTCCAGGAAGCAACAGTAGCATAGGAAAAGGATGGAAGTTTCTAGAAAGCAAGTCCCCAGAAAAGCTGGGAATAGGTCAGAGATAGCTTTGAAATGGAGAACATGTTAGACAGAGATTTGACAGGGGTCTGCCCTAGCTTGTTCACAAATTAGTTCTCGGAGCCAAAACTGTTTCCCAGATTAACCGGACAGATGGAGGGACAGGCTGTGCTGCCCAGCTGGAGGGGGAACTGATGCCATAATACATAAGCTTGTACAGCCCACCCGGGGGTCTGGGTGGTCCACGGAGCACATCCAAGAAGGGCCCTGAGGTAAATCCCGAAGATCCAGATTTCCATGCATTCCATCCCTGTCCCAGTCCTGTCTCTCCCTCCCTCTGCCCTTCGATTGAAGAACTGATGCCCGTGGAAGTGTGTCAAGAGCGGCCCCTGAAAACAGAAGAGCCACGAGAGTCATTCCAGAGGTCTGTTGCAGTGGGCTGGCAGGCGTCCATTGGACTTCTCAGACAGCAGAGTCTGGAGAAGCCTGGGTGAGGGGATGGAAAGTGCGATTTTGTTTTCAATTCTGTCGTTGGCTCATGGAGTTCCTTTACTCTTATGCCAAGAGGGTTCAGTGAAGTGCCAACCAGGCAGAGCCTCTGAGTTTGGGCGTCAAGTATTTTTTTCTATAGCCGAGGAAAACTGTAGACTTTACTCATTGGTAATATTTCACCCTTCTGTTGCAATATTAAAAATCAGAAAGTTCATCTATTCAACTATGAGAACACATAGTAAGAAGCCTGTTTATTTTTGTGACAGAATCACTTTATGCCAAAGTTAAGATCCACAACCTGGCTAATATCTACTAACAGTCAGCACACTAACAGTGACACACCTGGAGATCGTGTGTCACTGACCTGTTGTGGTCAACACGGCGAGCTCTCTCGTTCACAGATGTTCTCAGAGGCCATCAGCCCCCTTGAAGGAAGCTGATTAACTAAGACCTCCCCACCCTCAAAGAAAAGCCCACATGATGATTTGACGCTGAAGTCACATCTCTTAGGAGGTCTGCCCTCCTGATGTCTGGGCCAGTGGTCATCCTGCAAAAGACTCTGCATCCACTGGGGCACAGAGAGGCTGGAATTCCGCAGGCCGTGGTCAGAGAGGGCAGATGCTAACTGGGAGGGGCTGTGTCTGCCTGGGCTGGGACATCCTGGGACGGCCTGCCTGCACCTGGATGTACACTCTGCAGACAGAGCAGACTGGAGTGTGAACTCACGCTGAGAATCCACTGTTTGGGGAAAGCCTTCAAACATCCCTGTGGAAGCACCCAGAGAAAACTTCATGCCTGTCTTACAAGACTGCAGCTTGGTCCCAGAGGGGTGACGAGGAAGAGAAGGAAGCAAGCTTCACTGGGAGCTGATGCACGTCAGCATCCCAGAGCCCTCAGATTACACACCTGCGTTTGGAAGAGAAACCAACCCCATCGAAGGGGAAATGTCGCAGTTTGCATAAGGAGTGGTACTGAAGCTGAACTGATAAAGGAAACAATATTTGGGCCCCATTCAAAAAACAGTCCTACTTATGAATAAAATGAGTTAGCAAGCTTCAAACCTGGAATGTGTATGGGACCTGCTATCCCATAGGGTTTTCATGGGGAAAGCTAAGGATCATGGTGTGCAAACTGCAACCTGCCCTTTCCTGGGGGTCCTGCAAAGGAGAAGTGACTGAGCCTAATCAGAGAGGAGGGGTCATCAGTGGGAGTGCTAATCAGACCTGTTTCTACGGTGACGGAGAGTGTTTCCTTTTATTGCACTAGAACATGCCATAATGAGATAATGGCCAATGGTATCTCTTTTAAAAAGTCATGCCCCACTTTGAGTAAAACTGGAATAATTTGTTAGAGAGAGGAAAAAAATGTGCTACATTAAATTATAGTGACATAAATAAATCAACAGAGCAAAGGGAGAGGGAAGAGAGAAGAATCTGATTAGATGGCTAAACGGTTCTAGGCGGAGAGAGAAGCAGATCTTTCTTTCGAGCTCTGACCCCACAGCCAGCCAGCATTTCTGTCTAGATTTAAAATTAATAGAGCAAAACTCTGACTAATGATGGAGCCACATGTTTTTATTTGGATAATAACCCTGCATTCACCTTTTTTATGAGTTTAAATTATAAGACAACTGGAGAGCTTACATTACCACTTGCCTTGAAGGTGAAATAAGCCAATCATATTCTTACTTAAATATATACGCACAGGTACTAAATTTAAGTCCTGTTGGTGAATATTTCATTGCACTGCTAAGTCTTCAGGAGGCGAGTAGCATTTTGTATTTATAATCCTATAAAGGCTTGTCATTACTGAAATGGAATCCAAAACCAGAAGACAAAGCCAGAAGAGAGCCACTTCTGCATGGAAGGTGACAGAGGCTTTAATCTGCCAGGTCTTCGCTTCCTGACTCCATCTCCTTGGAAGGAATGCAGAGATTCCCTGAGCACTTGGGTCAAATTTTAATATCTGTCCTGGGCGTTGATTGGTTGGTACAGAATTGCTGTTTATTGGCCTTATACTATCGTATGTGGAATTTTTAATAATCTTTTTATTTATATTTGCATACACATTTAAGTTATCTCCAGTTTGTTTTCTTTGTGATGTTCTTGAGGCCTGGGTAGCCTTAGGAAGGAAAAGCTATGTTTCCACCCCCTCTGGCTTTATAGTCTATAAATGACAATTTTCCTGATAATAGGATGATGAGTGGTCTTCGTCTAACCGAGGGAGGATCATTCTATGGACCACTGCAAAGAGAGATTCCACGGTGTCATGTTGTTACGTCAGCTGCCAGTTCCCGTGAGAAACCGTCCTGGAGCCGTGAATGGATTTACCTACCCGACAATATCCATATCCTCAACCCTAGGAAGGGGGTTTTCCTGTAGGGTTGGCCTTCAAAATACACTGCCTGTCAAACCGGGCAGCATGCAGTGTCCTAGAGTCAGGTCTCCTCTTTGGGCGTTTCTACCTGCGGGCTCCATGACACCCTCAGGGGAGGCTCGCCTTGAGCCCTCCTGGTGAACCAGACCCCACATTCACAGCGATCTTCTTGGAGACTAGAGTGTAGGGAGTCATAGATGCTGGGGTGACTTTCTTTTCACAAGTTTAAGTCACATCTGGAGACTCAAATGCCAATAGTTGCCATATGAATTGACTAGAACAAATTACGTTACTGGTTTTATCGGTGGTGACGTGCAAGTCAGCAAGACAACGTGTGTCTGTACATGCTACTCATGAAGTTCCAAAACGAGAAACACGGTGGCCCCTGGCGCTTGCATTTCCAGGCTGCAGATCGCTTCCTCTGCGCCTCTTGAGAGAGCTGCCCAGTCATTCCCAGGATGTCTCCAGCAGGGCTGATTCAGTTTGGACCCTGAAGTGGCACGTGTACCTGAGAAGCATACTGGCCTCTAGGGGATCGAGGGTTCATTATGGAGACGCTTGGTTTCGTGGAGAGTGTCATGGTAGCTCCAGCAACTGTGAAAAATAAACCTTGCCTCCAGTTCTCGCTACTTTTTCGTGTAGTGTTTGAAATGTAGGATTTCATTTCTGATATGCAACCTTGTAATACTTTTATTTTGTGTGTGGTTTAAGATATTTGAACAGTTTGTAAAGACAAGAATAAAAGAAGAATACAAGGAAAAGAAGAGTAAATTGCTGCTAGCCAAAGAAGAATTCAAGAAACTTCTAGAAGAATCTAAAGTGTCACCCAGGTATGGAGAAAGGAACGTGCCAGGCAATTTCTGGGGCTGGGAATTTTCCAATCATCATAAGAGGGCTTTTAAAGTCTGCTTAGGTTAAGTCATGTAACCTAACGTTCCATGGACATCAAAAGTGTAATTTTAAAGATCCATTGGAGAGAGAAGCCCACTCCCCCTTGTGTTGTCAGTGAATGAAGCTCCAACCCCTCCTTCTGTATCGGTCCAGCAGACAGTGCTCTTTGCTAACCAAATGCACCACAGTCATTCTGTTTTTCTGCACTATGTGGTTTTAAAAATGTCAGCAACCCTGACTCCCCGGCACAAATAAATAATCAATAGGTCAGCCCTTGAGTCATGAGGTCTAACTTCTGATCTAATGATTAAGGAGTAAAAATGCAAAGCAAGCAACAACAACAGCAGAATAAACCAGCCAATCCCCTCGGTTCCAGACACCTTAGCCGTTGGCTGGAGTGTACAGTGAAGATCTGACACAGGGGCTAAAGGACCCAGTGAACTGGGTGCCAAAACTTACTTAAAATAGTCAGGCATTCTTTCTGTGAAATAAAACAAACTAATAGGAAAATAGAAGTTAGAAATTAGAAAAATACATAAGCTTAATTCTTCTTTAATATTAGCTTTAATTCACTGACACAAAAAATAATGAACATTTTAGAATTATAAAATTATAACTTTTATAAGTATAAAAGTGACTGATTTTAATACATTTTTACTTTAGATTGGGATATTATTTTTGAGTGGACATATTTATTATCATTTTGAATAACATAAATTCAACATTATTTTTTTAAATAGAACTTAATGTTTGCTTTCTATGAAGATGTAGGCGTCTATATTTTGATCAATAATTGGTTAATTCATTTGGTCAATAATTGGATAATGTAAGTTAGTGTTGGTTACATAGTCCTCGTAGAACTTCTCCAACTAATTAAAGGACAGATACTTTCTGAATGGGAAAAAATTAGCATGAATTATCCCCATCACAGAATGCTAACCTAAGAAAGTAAATGTGTGTCTAATGATTTGTAAATTGTGATTTTCTATGGTTAAAGTCACCCTGATGAACGCTGGGTTCTAGCCATGGCGTCCCTTTGTCCTCCCACATGGTGACCCTCGGGGGGAGGAAGTTGGTTCTGGAGCCCCCTACCCGAAGATACAGCCCGGCCCCCTCAGCCCTGGCTGTGGGGTAAGGTGCTGGCCTTTACCAATAAGGGGTCATCATCTGAACAGGGGATGGGTGCCCCAGCCTTGTTGGGCAATCAGGAGGACGTGGGAGGTGCTGCACGTGGAGAACACACGTGGTGCCCGGCAGGTAGGAGGACCGGGGACGGAGAGCTCACGTCATTCCTGTTATTGTTATCGTTAAGGACATTTAGCTGATGTTCTCTGTCTGTGTGTTAACAGTAAGCCAGCATAGCCCCCTCTCCTGAATATATCATGAAGGCAAAGGAGAAAATGTTCAGAATGTATCGAGCAATTAAGAAAAAGATCACGGACACACAGAGAGAAGGAAAGTGAGAGATGGAAACGGAAAGAGAGTTAAACTTACTCTTCTTTACAATTAGATTTAATTGCCTGTTTTAAAAAAAAAATGTGCACTGGGCATATATTACTTTTATAATTATAAAACTATTTTTTATTTTTTTGTTTATTTATTTTTTTGCTTGAGGAAGATTCGCCCTGAGCTAACATCTGTTGCCAATCTTCCTCTGTTTTGTATGTGGGTCACCACCACAGCATGGCCACCGACGAGTGGTGTGGGTCCACTCCTGGGAACCAAACTGAGGCCACCAAAGCAGAGCACACCAAACTTAACCACTAAGCCAATGGGAAAGCCCCTATTTTTTATTTTAAAAGTAGCTAATTCTGCAACATTTTCGAAACGTTTTTAGATCTTCTCTACGTTTTCCTCTCACTGCCTCACAGGCATCCTGGTAAAGTACGTGCGGTCCAGATGGCTGCACATGGGATGGTAGGTGAGGCGGAGGAAGGCCGTCCTGAGCATCCTGAGAAGCAGCCTTGTGGGTCTTTGCAGCTCCACCAGTTATCCCAGGCTTTAATGCTGGGCAGGGCCTCAGCTCTCACCTGAGAAGCTCTAGGGAACGGGGGCCACAGGGATAGTCCAGAGCCAGCTCCCAGCCCTGCCCAGCTCTCAGGGTGTTGGGATGGGGAGAGGAGCTGCCCGGACCTCCCCTTTGGCTATGAGGGCAGGCTGTGGGCCTGGCACTCTGTGGCTCCTTATTGAAGGCCACCGTGGCCTACTCCTTCAACTGCAGGTGGGCCGTGTCCCCAGTTGCCAGAGGGAAAAGGGATTCCCAGTGCTGATGCCTCAGATGACTTCCCCAGGCCTGCTGGACAGTTCTGCAGGGTCAGCGGGAAGCCCGGCTGTCCCCTCGGGCATGGCTAAGGGGCCACACAGAGTTTTAATTCTCTCTTTCTTTTCAGGGACACTTCTTCAGAGGTTCCCCAGATAGGACCTACGTGGAAGGGGCCACTGCCCAGCCCCTAACTGAAAATGCTTAGACTCCTCTCTAGACAAGTGAAGAAAATAGGCCCCCAGTGATTCGCATCTTGAGAGGAAGGAAGGAAGGAAGGAAGGAAGGAAGGAAGGAAGGAAGGAAGGAAGGAAGGAAGAGAGGAAGGAAGGGTCTTAGTCCGTTCAGGCTACTGGAACAAAGTACCATGGACTGGGGGGCTTAATCAACAGACATTTACTTCTCACAGCCTGGAGGCTGGAAGTCCAAGACCAAGGTGCTAGCAGATTCAGTGTCTGGTGAGGACCTGCCTCCTGGTTCATAGACAGCCGTGTTCTCCCTGTGTCCCAATTTGGGGAAGGGTGAGGAAGTCCCCTGGGGTCCCTTTCATAAGGGCACTAATCTCATCATGGGGCCCCACCCTCATGACGTCACCTGACCCTAATCACCTCCCAAAGGTCATACCTCCTATACCATCACATTGGGGGTCATGCCTTCAACATATGGAATGGAGGAGGACACAAGCATTTAGTGCACAGCAAGGAGGGAGGGAGGAGGGAAGGAAGGAAGGAAGTTGAAAAGCAGAGAGAAGCGCTTTTCTTTCAGAGAAGTGTGTGCGCGAGCATGACCCCAGAGCCCCGACAGGGAGACAGCACTGCTTCAGAGGAAGGAAGGAGACTGCTTGTTCAGTGACTACAAAGAGACGAGTCTACTGGTTACTCGTCTTGTCTCCTAACAGCCATGTCCGTATAATCTTGTTGTTCATGTATAAAAAAAGCGAAGTTATAATAATTTAATACAATAATCAAAGGTCTGTGATGAAATATAAAACTCTCCACAAAGAGAAAGGGGAGAAATGAGAGGCTTTCCTGGACAAGGCAAGAGCTCGCTTCCCCTTCCCCCGGGGTGCCCTCCCACAGCTCCGCCTGAGGCTCTGAGGCCAGGACCCTGGGGCAGGGAGGCGGGCCAGAAATGTCAGCAGGCACCGGCTCCTCCCTCCTCCGGACCTCAGCTCTCCATAGCTGTCACCATTCCCGGCTTCCAGTCCAGGCCTGGGAGAAGAGAAAGCCATGGGGACCCGGTGCTGGCAAAGGCTCCATTTGTCCCTGCAAAGGTGCGGCCACTCTTTTTGCTCTCTGAGCTGCCCCAGCCCCTGGGGACCAGCCTCACCGGGCTAGGCTGGCTTCATTCGCATTTCCTCACGTGGGACGCCCTGGCCTGGCAGTTAGGGATTCATTCAATCAATATTTGGGAGCTTACCGCACATCGGCCATGGCCTGATATTCAAGGTGTTCAGTGGAGAGCAAAGCTGTTAATGGTGCTTCCACTGGAGCAGGGAAGAGTTGAGTAAAACTGTACAATTAAGGCTTATTGCCATCAATAACTGTGACAAGGGCCGTGAACGAATGACACGCAGTTCTCTGACCCTCTTGATAGGGCAAGTTTCCCTGAACAAGACACCCTGGTCCTGAATTCTAATGATGAATGAGCTGTAAATGAGGAGGGAAAAAATAAGGGAAGGGTGTGCTAGGCAGAGCGAACAGCATATTCAAAGACCTGTGGCAGGTAGGAGATTGGTGAGAGCCAGGGGGGAAGAAGACCTGTGTGGACGAAGTGGTGTTGGGGGGCGGTTGGGCAGTGGTGGACTCAGAGTGTGAATCAAGGCTGGAGAGGCAGGCAAAGCCAAGCTCATTTCCAGGGACCAATTAGACGGAGACATGGGGGTTCTGCAGGTTAAGTTGGATCAGGACCCCGGGCCCGGTGGGCGGTCATACCCGGCTTGGGGAGGGTGGGGCAGGCCTGGGAGGCCCAGAGCCATGCCCTGCAGCCAGTCCCTGCCAGTGTCCTGCTCCTTTGGCCCTGCAGCCAGCAGCTGGGTCTGCGGGAGGAGCTGTCTGCCATCTCCAGCCATGCCACCCTCAGTGTTCAGGAAGCCCAGGACTGGCTCTTAGGGAAGAAGTCTCAGGAAACCTTTTGTTTTTCAGGACCACATTTAAGGAGTTTGCCGAGAAGTACGGCCGGGACCAGAGGTTTCGACTTGTTCAAAAAAGGAAGGATCAGGAGCATTTTTTCAACCAATTCATACTTGTTCTGAAGAAACGGGACAAGGAAAACAGACTCAGGCTTCGGAAAATGAGATGAATGTGTGGAGAGTGCAATAAGACTGAGCGTTGCAGGGCGAAGGGGGGACGCGCAGTGGAGACACAGAGCGGGGCGTCCGCCCGGAGGGTGGGGTGCTCTCGGCCTCGCTGCTGGCTTAGTTCTCAGAGGATTACTGTTTCATATTGAAGCTCTCTTTTGTACCACATTCAGAATTTGATGCATTTCTAATTGCCATGATATGTTGATCCCTTGTTTTAATTATGCAAATTCCTTATAATATATACAAATTGTAAATCCACTGCAGATTTGTAAGTCAGCACCCTCTAGAACCATCTCAAGGCATTTTCATGAGATGAGCCGATTATCTGAAACTTTTCTGAAAACCTTTGTGAGTTTCTTGGATTCTTCGGGAGCTCCATGGTGTTGGGGAATTCCTTACTCGAGTGTCCAGGGTCTCCGTCTGTTTTCTGAGTAGTAGCAATAGGGTATTCATCATTACTCATAGTGACAACTGTGCACATCTCAACACATGAACCACGGATCACCCGCAAGTGTCGAAGGTTGATCCCTCACTCCCCCGGGGGGCATCAGGCCTGGAGAAGGGGGCCACACCGTCTGTCGGTGTCCTACTTATAAAAAGAATTATTTTGTACAAAATCATCATATTAATATTTCAGTTATTTTTATTGTATGCCCAGAGTTTGCATGAGATTTTTCTCATCATCTTTGTATAAAAAAATTTTAAATTTTTTTTAATTAATAAATATTTTAAAACAGCGTGTTTTTGTGGCTAAGACGTCCAACACAATCTCAAGCAGCAAAATTGTGTTTCAACTAAAGATACTTTATTTCTGAAGATTCATAAAAACATGTCTGATTGCACAGAAGGCTGTGTAAGTACTAGGCAAACAAAAATCTTACTTTTCATATTACTAGTCCTGGGTGGAATAATGTTTTATAAAACCCCAGCCAATTAACTGTATTCTTTAAATTATTGAACATCCGTTAGTTTATTTCAAGATTTGTGGAGTTTCTATTCAGACACACTGTCTTTGTCCCCAGCACACAGTGACACTGTCTCCTCACCTACTTCTCCTTGATCAGTTCCCATAAGAACACTTTTTGCCATGCCTATTAGGACCTATGGCAAGGTGGGATTCTCTCTTGTTTGGAGTATGCCTTGGTCTTAACACTAGTATTGTTAATGTGTGGTCACCTTCTAAGTGGGTGACCTCTGTAGGTGATGGGGCCATCACTCAGGCCATGATCCAGTGGTGTTGGGTGTCCAGGGCTGGGCTGCTGGAGGCAGACTCTGGAGAAATACATGCCAACTCTGCATCAGTCAGGGTCCAATCAGGAAACAGAAACCACCTCGTAATTTGAACAGAGAAATTTAATGGAGGGAATTGTAAATATAACAGGAGATGAGAGTGACGAGGCTAGTAAGTGACGACGTGTGTGAAGAACAGAGGAGCCGCCATTGCTGCCGAGCTCAGAGAAGCGTCTAGGAAAATGCCTCCCCGACCAGGGTGGAGATCTAGACCTCCTGGAGAGGGCAGCTCTGTGGCTCAGCCAATGGCAGAGACGTCATTGTGGTGCCAGTCAGGGGAACCTGCTGGAAACCCACCCTCAAAGGTGCTGGGGAAAGTCGCTCACGTGGCGGTGTCTCCTTAGATGCACTGTGCCCAAACCCACCCAGGAAGATGTTGGGGTGGCGGAGCTGTTGGCCGCCCAGCCCCCAGGGATGGGGTTCTGGGGAAGTAGCCTGTGCTGCTACGGGAGCTGGAGAGAGGAGCTTCTGGTGGCCCCTGGGGTTTTGCTAGAAGCCAGTGCTCTCTTCTGCCGTCAGTATCATCCATTTTAAAGCCAGCTTGGCTTGCTTCTTGCCCTGGTAGAGGCTGGCAGCCTGATCACAGAATACCAAATGAGTGCACCCTAAAGCCCCACCACCACCTGTAGTCTGGTCCATCCAGCATAAAATTGGATACACACAGCAGCGTTTCATCTAAAATGGAAATATATAGCCAAGACTGAGCCTTAGCAGTTCTGGAAGGTGTACTAAACCCATATTCCCTGGGTACCTGCTCCCTCCTGATGCCACTCCCTGCACACACAGCTCTGCCTCCTGCTGAGATCCCCATGTCTAGTGGCTGAGGAAGGAAGGACAGGCCTGGATCAAGAGCTGAACGTCATGGGATGCTGTCTCCAGTCACGAGTAATTGCTTACTTCATCACAGCTCCGGTCAGGAGGGGCCCTGAGAGTGGTGGTGAGGGGAAAGTCTCTCTGTGGGGCCATTTGACTCCTCGTGGCACTGAAACAATAGGGGGAGAAGGTGGTGGCTGTGCTTGCTGGCAAGTCCTCCCAATTATGGAAGGGAAATGACGTTTCTGGCACCTCTTGCAGTTAAGGAGGACCGTGCTAGAACCCAGAGGGTCGCTGGGCACCTTCAGTACCACACTGAGCGCTTGCCAGCAAGGGCCTCACAGCTTCCATAAAGTCAGGACTGCTAAAGACTTAGGCCCATGGGAAAGAAGGCGGGTCATCCCACCATGTTGTAAGGCACCTCTGCAGAGCTGGGAGAGGGGAAGGAGCACGCGGCGGCTGGTCGAAGCTGTGGCCTTCATCTTCGGTCACACGACAGTCTCCAGAAACGGGGACGGGAGCAGCCACATTTCTATGTTAATTTTCCTCTCCTTCCTCGTCCCCTATTATCTCGTGTAGTTGGTGACTACTAGTTTGGATTTGGGGTGTGTGACTCTGAATTAACCTCACCTCACAAGGATCTGGCAGCTGGTTGGATTGTCTCCCCTGTTGGGGCCACAAGGTTCATCTTCAGCCATGACGGTGAGTGGACCACAGGTCCCGGCAGAGGATCCAGAGTCCAACATTCCTTCCTTGCCCTGCGGCCCAGGGTTCTCCACATGCCACAACTCTGGGGCTTCCTTCCTCGGCTCTCAGGTGGTATCAGTGGGGACAGCATCAGGAAACAGGAGGGTGGAGGAGAGAGCCGGGGTGTTTGTTCCCCTGTCCCACCTCTGCTCAGCCAGTTGGCCATGGCTATTGTCCTTCACTCACGGCTGTAGCCCCAGTCAGGCAACCCCTCCTGCAGCCACAGCTTTCCCAGGTTTTGTTTAAGTCTCCGTACCTGCTCCTTCAGGCCCAGGGCTGGAAGTTGTTCCTGCAATGGCTTGTCCTGGGGACTTCAACATCTCTCGATTTCCTTTAACTCTGCTCCTGCGTTCCTAGTCACCGCTCCGTTAAACTCTGCTCAGTCACTCCTGTCGAGGGGCCGTCTGACTGCTGTCAGCACCATGACTAATTTCATCACCATCGTCATCATCACCATCATCACACTCAAATAGTAGTTATCCAGGGCTCACATGACCCAGAATTGTACCAAAACTGATATCAGCAGGAGGACGCAGGGCTCGTGCGATCGTGGCCTTTGTGCTGGACGAAATGTGAAAACATCCATGATCTATCTTAGTGCTTAGGTGCCCATTGGCTGGTAGGAAAATTTCCAGACGTTTTTGCTTTTCACCCAAACGTTTGGGAACTTACATTTTAGTTCACATAATCATGATTTTGAATCTAAGAGAATTAAATTATTTACAATTGTAGATGGACAGATTGACAAATAGATAATCTCTATATTTACATCTACGTCTATATTCATATCTATCTACGTATCAATCAACAAGTTTTTGGAGATGAAAGGTCAACCCCCATGAGTCAGATAAGCCCTCAGGGAGAAAGATGAGTTTGAATAGAGCTGGTTTAATGTGGTTGTGGACTATATTTCAAATATCGGCCCACTTTGAGGGCTGCAGAAATAATTCCCTTTTTTTAGTCTTCTGCATATATTTAAGACATTATAGAAGTACAATAGGCTAAGATTTCTTTTAACTTATAACTTATTTTAATTTTTGAACATTTCACTTTCATTTTAAATGCTGCTAGTATAACCTGGCTTAACTTGATAGTGACCTCCGTGCTGTAAAAATTTAGCAGGACACTGAGGGCGTGTCAATCAGTTAACACTGAATCCAATCAAAGGACAAACACACGTATTGGAAGGAGAGACAGGTCATCTCATCATTGATTATTGGATTAAAACCTCCTTTCATGCCCCAGAGGCCAGAGTTTCAAGACGTGGCTCTGTGGTCTGGAGCCCCCACCACCTGGACCTCCAGGGCACCCTCCACTCAGCTTTCTCATCACATACTCACACACACACCATATACCCATAGGAGGGTCCCGCTTTACAGAGCCCTCTGTCCCTTTTCCTCTCTTCACCTGACAGTTTTCAAGGCCTTCTTGTCAATGCCACCTCTGTCTCTTCCTCCGAACATTAGAACATCTTGCCCAGGGTATACGTCCCTGGAGAGCTCAGCCCTTTGATATCCCCAGTGGCCCCTACAGGGAGGGTCCTCAGAAGGTGGCAGGGCTGCTACCACACAAAATTGGGGTTCTCTGCCCAATGCACATAAACAAGCCAATTAATTATCGCCTTTGAGGAGAGAAATCAGCTTTTATTCTGAAAAATCGATCTGCAGGGAGACAGGAGGCATGTGCCCTCAGATCTATCTCCTCGATTCAGGATTTAGGATAAAATGTAAGAGGTTAGGGAGAACAGGTTGGCACCCAGAAACACTGGTGGGACAGGTTTTGATTGATGGGCTTCAGGTATTTACGGTAAGGTTTTTTTTTTTTTTTTTTGTGAGGAAGATCAGCCCTGAGCTAACATCCATGCTAATCCTCCTCTTTTTGCTGAGGAAGACTGGCTCTGAGCTAACATCTATTGCCAATCCCCCCCCTTTTTATTCCCCAAAGCCCCAGTAGATAGTTGTATGTCATAGTTGCATACATGGTAAGGTTTTAAACATTTATGGTGACAGTCTAAACTTTTATGATGGGGTTCTAAACATTCTTGCATGAGGTGGGGAAGGAATTTTAACACCAGATCTTCCTGAATGAGGGACCCCTCGCTTCTGATAAGAGTCCAGCTTTCAAGTTCTGGTCGCGTCCCGGTCCTTGGGTTCCGGAGCAAGAGGATCTTTGGT